TCTGGTTATGATGATTCTAACGATTCGGATTCGGAGTCGGGTAGTTCATATTACTCAGATTCTGAAGAGGAAAGGAGGCGAAGGAGGAAGGAGAGAAAGAGGAGAGAGGAGAAGGAGAGGCGGAGGAGAGAAAAGGAAAAGGCTAAGAAGAGGAAAAGAAAAGAAGTAGAGAAGAAAAAATTGAAGAAAAAGAAGGATAAGAAGAAAGAGAAAGAGAAAGGGAAGAAAGGTGCCGTGACTAATTCTTGGGGAAAATATGGTATCATTCGAGAAACTGATATGTGGTATGCTGCTACTCTTTCACTCGCCTGTGAAATTGTGTTTTTGGTGTTGCTTGGTTATCATTTTTTCCCCTTCAATAGCTGTACTTATCTGAAGAAATTATGAAGATTATGAAATACTATAATTTTCCATGATTAGTTAATGATTACTTATAAGGATAGGTTCAAATCAGTCTGTATATGATACTCTGAAATGTTTGGTAAAAATTCCAATACTGGTATCAGGTTTTTTTGATGATGGCAAATTTGGTTCAATTGTTACTTAGGAAAGGAGTTTTCACAATTGACGAATAAACTAAGTACAGTGCCGCTGCTGACTACAATCCCACCATTGCTACAGCTGAACAAATACATCTTTCCATTTCAATGGAGGATCACTTAGTGAGTCTGTGGCATCCCACCATTCCGTTTACGTTGGGTCTCATAGTGTACCTTTAGGTCTCGTGTACCCAAAAAATAGTGAATCGGGTGCTTCTGCTTTAGGGTTTAGGAGGAGGCTGATACCCTGAGGTCTAAGTCCATTGTATCATCCTTGTGGGAAGGGTGATAGTGAATCTTTCGGTCTCATGAGTGCTGCTCAAAAGTAGTAAATCACAAGCTTCTGCATTAATGTTTTGTAGGATGCAAATAATATCCATGCTGTCTAGGCCATGATATCATCCTGGTGGGAAGAGTGGATGGTGAAGGGTCAAGATTCTATACTGCAAGTTTTGGAAACTGCTTTTATAGGCATCATACCATTAATTTTCGTGCAACAAGATCTCCTTTATGCTTATAATATTGTGTGATTGGTCCGTCTTTAGAGATGTCCTGCCTTTCAAACAGATATTGTATTTCAAACAGACATTGTAAATCTTTCAATCCATGTCCGCAGTGACTGTACCAACATACATGGTATTCAATATGCAAACCTTTCTTCTAAATTTTGCTTCAAATTCTAGTGGTGGGTCGATAAACACTTCCTCCTGCTCTCTGCATGAAAAGTTCTACATTTAGTTGATATGGTGACCAATATTTGAGATTGGAAGCCAAGGCATCTCCGACTGAACTTTTTATTTTAAAGAGCATATCTTCCAGTATGAGGAACATCTTGAAGACCTTTTAAAAAATAAAGAGCAAGTCTGTTTATACAAGTCCAGCAACACTATATATTTATTCTTAATTTTCCTTTTTTTTTCCCTAAGGAATTATGACGCAATCTTCTCCTTCCTCTTTTTACCTAGTTTTCCTCTCTATATTTTATAATCCTCAATATATTTTTTTAACAAGGAGAACAGAAAAGTGTGAAATGATAAATGAAATCATTAAATTGGGTTTGACCCTCTACATTTGGCGAGTCAAATGCACTCTTTATTTTAATTTTTCAATATAAAGAGTTTGTTGGAGATCTTAGAAAGATTACCAACCCTCTAAAATAAAGAGGATGGAGCTATTAAAGAGCTTTTTGGAGATGCTCTAAGACGTGTATTATATTCTTCTTACCTCTTCGTGCACTGTCCTGACAATTGTTACCATATATTAGAGTGAGTCTAACCTCGTATCTGTCACTAGTTCCATCAGCTTTAATACGAGATTTTTGGTCCTGTAGTGAATGCAATTTGAATGCAGATAATTCGAGTCAGTTTGCCTCTAAATGTTGCACTACTACTCAATCACTTTTTGTTTCATTACCTTGGTTTCTTGTAGGAATAAAAGGCCTGAGTTTACTGCATGGTTAGCAGAAGTTAAACAGGTATTCCATTATGCCCCATTTGATTGAGTTTTTTTCTTTTTTAGAAGATTGATGGAATCTCGTCGAGTATATTTCTATATTTCCTTAAGTTTGCTATTTCATTCATTGGAAATTCTCTTTCATTTCCTTCCCTACGCTTTATTTTGGAAGTGCTGTGCAAAAATTGATCTATTACCGTGCAAATTAATTTGCCATGGTGCTTATATTGAATATGACATACTTTGAGGGAAACCAGCTTTGTCCATTATTCTCAAGTATTTTGGAGAGTTGCTCACTTGCTCTTGCCATGTGTAATTTGATGGGGCTTTTTTCAACAGGTGAACCTGGAAAGTCTGCCTAATTGGGAAGAGAAGCAAATGTTCAAACAGTAATAAATTATATATTTCCAATTTTATGCAACAATTATATTAGTGGCAATATAGTTAATGATTTTGATATGGACTTGGTGTTCATCCTTAGTGTTATTTGTGTTGTAAATTCAATGGTTTATAATGCACAGGTTCATGGAAGATCACAACACAGCTACCTTTCCATCTAAAAAGTTAGTCCCTTCACTGTAACTCATGTTTATATTGTTTTCATCATTCATACATCTTGCGCGTGTTTGAAATTCCTAAATTTCTTCTAAATTATAATTCACATTGAATGGGTCCCATCAAACAGTACCTCAACCGATATTTTGACTAATTTAATGCCATTTGCACGTCTCGTTCCCAATAAATAGAGCAGTTGCATTTAGATCAAGAGATTACCAAATTTGCCCAGGAAAATTCCACAAATACGCCGACTGCCCACAATAAATGAGGGTGAATTATAGAGGCATTTTCGTCCATTACACAATCCCTTTCCTTTGACCATTCCACATGATGATGAAATTGCATATTTAACATCAAAATGGCTGACAACATTCTTCCAACTTCATTGTTTGGTGGGATCCATTAGAAATGCATTATAATTTTAGGAGAATAGGAATCCCGAATACTCACCTTAGGTCTTGTTTTCCTCTTCTTTTCTCCTAGCATATATCCTTTTATATTGTTATTATCCCTATTGTTATTTTGTTTTTTAGGGTGGTAGGGGATTTGATCTTTGATTTCGGATGCATATGTTATATTTATCTATTGGTAATTTGTAATACATAAACATGAGGTAGAATGTCATGTCTGCCTGGTGATTTATATCTAACTTAAATGAGGAAATAAGAAAATATTGTTACAAAAGGCTTGTCTTTGAGAGAATAATCTTTGCTGTTTCAAAATGACTTGCTACCACAAGGATGTAGTAGTGTAGATATGTTCTTAGATGCATATTCGGTCTCATGATTTTTTAAGTCAATAGTCTTTGCCACATTTCTTTGTCATTAATGGTTGCAGATATTATGGCCTTGATGCTTATTATCGCCATAAAATGGAGAAGGAAATTAAAAGAGGTATCAAGAAACTCCCGGACAAAGAACGTACTGTATTTAACGATGAAGAGCAGCGAAGGTTGGTTTAAACTTCTGGTGCATGTTGCATGCTTTTGCTTTGATCATTCATAGATTTATTTGGAATTCACAAATTCATCTATAGAAAATTCTTTGATTCAGGCAACTTCAACTGGAGTCCATTTTCGAACCAAAATCTAGAGCTACAGCCATATAGTTTGTTCATTTGGACACTGAAAAATACGCATTCATGAGTTAATAGAACATCTTCAGTATGATACATAGACAAATTGAACGGCACTATGCATTTATTAGTTTTGTTTGAGTGATTATCATTATGTCCATGCCTAAATTGAAGGCATTGGCTATCATTTTGTGAAAGTCTTAAGCAATGTAAAGCTCTACGGACATTAGGATAAAACATTCACTGTTTTTGCATCAGTAATGCCACATCCACCGGCATTCATGCAACGCAATAATCAGTGTTGTCTTTGAGATGCTGCTACGAATTATGTAAGCAAAAGATAGTGCTTCCCTAATAATTTATTGACCAGGATGGTATGGGGGCAACAGAACTTAAGGCAGTTATCAATGAAAACACCCCGTGTACTTGCTTTACTGTGTTAGCGCCCAGCTTTTGTTGCTGATTTCAGTTCTGCCTTTTTCTAATTTTTGGCCATTTCCCTTCTCAGGCTAGAACTTATGCGAGAACGTGAAAGACAGAAGGAAGAACAAGTGGAAGCTTTAAAGTGCGAGATGCAGAGTGGAATGGTATTCTTCTGCATAAGCAATAAAATCTCATTTTCTAGACTTGGCAAAATTCCAGTCAATTAATTGGTTTTGTTTACTTGATTTGGATGCAGGCTCAAGCAATGAAAGAGCAAGCCCGACTGAAGGAAGAGATGGCTTACCAATACAAGCTTGGCAACTTCGAGGTGAGGATGATGTTGAAAAAATCGTTATGTCCATTTTTGTCCAGTCTATTAACTAACTAGTTTGAATCAACAGGCTGCAGCTGCTATTCAGAGACGGTTGGATCCAGATGTTGCTATGTAACTAGTGTATGGATTATCCATGGCTGATCTCGTATAACTCGGTTTTAGAATATTTATACAAGAAACATATTTGTGTAACCTTCTCTTGAGATTCTGGATCTGTAATAATATATGTTAGATATTACGAGTATTTCAAATTTTGAAGTTATCACTATATCGTCTGCGATAGAAAGGGGTGACGACTCTTTCTCAGCTGCTTCTATGCAACTGACTACCTGTTGCCAAACTTGATCATCAATGAACTTATATATCGATTATTTACACACACCATGTGAGATTCCCCCCTTAAATATTGATTATTATTTGCGTGGCTGGTCTTCGTGTTACGTAAAAATGGATTTTTCTTTCATTTGTCGTGACAAATGACAAACTAAATGTTATTCTCAATTAATTTTCCTTTTCACCGCTCTGTTCAATTTACTGCAACATCTTCTATTTTTCAAAAGGAAGAACAAACAGTCTGGCAATTTATACGGACGACAGAAAATAACCAAAATTTGGAGGCATATAAAAAAAAACGTGGAATTATATTTGGACAAAGGTTTTTCAAGCGGATTTTGGCAATACAAATTCTGCAATACTGTGCTACTCTTTCATAATTTCAAAGAAACCTAACATGTCAATATCTATTTTATATATAACTTATGTTACAACTAAACACCTGCAAAAGTATTAACGCGAGACTAAAATTTGATTTGTTTCTCGACATTTTTGTAGAATCATTGTCGAGTCTCGTTTCTATTCTCTTCTTATGGGCATTGTCAAGGATCTTGTAATTATTTCTGGCAGAATCCTAGGAGAAACTGAAGAAGAAATGGAAGCCGATGGTCGAAGGAGAGGCGTACCAATCCTACTCGATGTCTCGTTGGCAACTGGGGAATGACCACTAATATCAACAATATGTGGTTGCAACTCGATTTCTGTGCCTGTTCGAGGGACTAATCGAGGACTATCTACCAACTGATGTTCATCTTCCTCAACTGATAATACTGTACTTGTGTCTGTATGAATAGTTGAATCATCTGTGAAATTGCCATGTCGTCTCCTCCTCCTAGCTGCCTTTCCCCATCCGTGAATTGTTTCCCTTATTCTTGGTGGAATTATTGCAGCCTTGTAGTTCGTTCCCATCTACGCAAAAGAATCGACAAAATGTAAAAGATTTAAACTTTTCTGGGATTACTACAGCCATACCTAGGACTCAAAATTACAATAAACGAGATTTCAACTTCTTTTTCATTCTTGCGTATGGTTCAATCCACATTACCAAATAGCAATTTATGTTAACAGAAGGAAACTTTGGTGTACCTGAGTAACCAGTGCATAGAGAGGCAAGGTGCTATAGCTGCATAAAAACTGTCCCGAAAACCTGTGCCAAATAAACTGCAGTCTCAGGCTATTGATTATCAAACTTTGACATAATTTTATTTTTGCAGTACACATGGAAGGAAATCGCGTTACAGTTTAAAATTTATTCATACCCCACAATTAGTCGTAGATATAACAGCAAGTGGTTCTTTATGAAGCATGAATTATAGCCGAACTGCCACTGCATTAAAAGCACACCTTTGTCAGAGCTGCGCAGATAATACTATCACATTCAAGAGATGATGCTTAGAAGGAAAAACGAGAGAAAAAACCGAGAACGAAGACAAAATCCACCTTTTTTAGCCTTAAATGTTTAAGAAATGTATCTCCATTGATCTTTCATACAGCATATTAGTATTTGGGAAAGCTTATAGGTCGGGGAACGCCAGATTTTAAAATTCAAAATGACAAAAATGTAAAACCGGATAATGTCATGGACACCCCTTTATCTATTACAAAATTCTGATACAATCATAAGAACTTCAGGGGGACGGAAGGGAGTACCCAGAACCAAAAGAAAGAAGCAAGCTCAAATGCATTCTGCAGAATGAGCACAGAAAAAGTTAGCAACAATACATCATGTTTAGACCAGCAGAAGGAGCATCATAGAAGAAATTTGAAAGAAAAAGAAGCCAAGAAATCAGGATTAGAATTACAATGAAACTGGCCAACCTGGAAAAGGATAAAATGTATCAAGGACAGTAATAATTCTGGCTTGTTAAACCAAAACAGCTCATCACGGGGTTTAATCCTTGGTCCAGCGAAACGCTCACTTATTCCTGCACTCTCCAATGCCAAGGTTGCAATAATGTGTTGCAGTTTTGCACCCACAAATAGAACAAGCTGCAGACAAAACGCTGTATCAGAGAAGAAAGTGGAAAAATCTTGTCAAAGACACCGGTTTTCTTTTCTTTTATGGTGAAAAGCAATTAACACGAGTTAATAGCCTCAAACCATATTTTATTCTTTCACTAATGGCAGAATCATTTCGTCGTATTCTTTCTTTCCTTTTCCTTTCTTTGCTAAATTAACCCCACAAGTTTAATCCATTTCAATCAACTTCTTTAACATCGAATACAGGTTCAAGCACCACACCATCTGGGTCCATTACATAAGTGGGCAGGATACATTTACAAGAGTTCAACCAAAACATGTTATGACAAAATAGAAAGTCCTGGTCTTCATTTTCTGTAAATTTTCTCAATTACCAGTATATTTGAAGTGCAAGAGTCAAACAGTCAAATTTAAGGACTGCCTGCATGTGCAAGCTTTCGTACACTCTCTCCCTCCATCTCTGGCTCATACCCCTCTCTCTGCATCTTTTTCTACTTTTATTTTTATATTTAACATATTTATTGTCAATTCCTTTCCATTTTCATGTCAAAACTACCCAATCCCAAATCCTAGTTGTATGCTAATAAGAGGATTTGTGTATTCCTACGCATATTAAAGGTGTAATATATGATGTTCAACTAGATAAACTTACAGTGATTGGAATTAGAGCAATCCAGAAGTAGAGATTAGATCCTGCAAGTTATAAACTGCAGTCAGCTTCTGAATCTTTCGTAATTTTATGAGAGACAAGGAGTCGGAAGCAAGACACTAATGGGTAGGAATATCAGAGCATATAAGCATAATTTTTCTCTTGCTAGTCAAATTAGAAAAAAGCAACAAACTATAGCTTCCAATTCAAAAGATGACGTGCCTTTTATGTTGAACAGCATAAAAGCTACAACAAATCCCCAGAGAGGACCACTGTAAAATTTCAAGAAAAAATGAAAAATGTCAGTAAAGCATCTTTAGAAAACCTTACCAGCATGTTTGGTCTATGGGATTACACAAAAAAATTCAAAATTTTGACTATTATGCTATGTACTAATGTTCAATATTGTGTATCAAAAATAACTGAGGAGAAGAAATTATGGTACTAGAAAGAATTGGCCTAAAGTGATAAAATAGATGTCATTTGAGGAGAGAAAATAGAGCTTAAAGACAACACAGAGCTTTCACACGACAGAGTTTCTGATAACATCACTATCTATCAGTAATGGGAGATTTAATGAAGTTATCATGGAATCTCTTACAGTTCACTTAGTGCTGGTGTAATGGTTAAACATTACTACTTTTTTCACTATTCAAGAAGTTTTGAAGCTTGAATTCATCTAGTAAGACCATTATCCTTTTCTCTCTCTTTAGCCACATATAAACCTAAAAAATACAATAAGTAACACAAACTACTAATCTGGGTTATATTTTTCCTTACCTAACACCAACTATACGTTGAAATTCTTCTTCCATGGAGCGAACCATATAGCTGTGAAAATCATATTTTGAAGTAAGGTTGTGGTTCTGCCATAAATAAGAAACGAGAGATGTGAAGTGTAATTTAACATGGCGTTGCCACAATAACTATTCATCAATAGAAACAAATCTTGTGATATGTAGAGTAAATGAATCAAATCCCTATATCGATCAAATATTTTAGCATTTTCATAATCAGAATGCAGACGGTAGAATACTTCCAAAAGGCACATAATAGGAATATGATTTCCAGAAAAGCTGAAAAATAGGTATTTATCTAAACTGCCATATAGTGGCTGATCAGAATATTTATTATTTAAAGAAAAAAAACCTCTAATACTGAACAAAAACCAATATATTCATATTTATATAGCTTATATATCTCCATGGCAAACCTAATCCACCGAGTACTAATGAATATGGCTGCAACTAGAGAGCGATATCAGTCAAATAAATGAATATAGTATGTCAAACTTATAAGAAGTCAATTATAATTGCTTATAGGAAACGAATTATTTGATGTCAATTCTGAGTATCTAAAAGATAATCAACGAAAAATTGTCATCAGCTTGAACAGAGTTAACCCTTTTGCCACTAAATGCATTGATCTGTTGTTTCAAGTATGCTGCTGCGATGTGATAAAATTTTCTCAAAGAGAGTGCCTCAAATTTCACTTGCAATTCCACTTATAAATAAATAAATAAATAAGAGGCAGAATGTCCCACAATTGATCAAACAATTACATACTGTGATGAATCCCTTGCGGAGTGAAAGGTAATCTGCCCGGACAACAGAACGCCCAAACTGCCGAAAGAAACAGGTCTGCACATTTAAATAACAGTAGTTTTAGTAACATTAACTCAATCATCTTTAAGCTTCAAAGTCCAAAAGATATTGAACAAGAAGATCTGGAATTCAAAAAGAAAGGACAATGAAAAGTTAGCAATGCAACTGTGTAATTTGGTTGACTATATCTTGGAACAACAATAATTTTTTGCTATATAAACTTAGTCAAGTAGAAGTGAATTTACCACCCAAATGAGGATGCTATGCCTGGCCATAGGAGTTGATGTATGAACCCTGACAAAGGTAGATTGCCTTTGCAATGTTTTTGCTCTTGTGATTTCTGCAACAAAAATTAGGTTACTGACGAGTTTCCTTGGTTCAGACAATTATTCATTACACTAAGTACAACATGTTTAAGGTGTAGGAAATTCTGCCTCTTCTGTCTGGTTTATATGTTTATGCTCAGCAATATCTTAAATTTGAACCTAGCTCACTTCAAAAAGAAATGGCATGGTCAAACTACTAGATACTGCAACCTTTAATCTTTAAGTTAATATGGCATCCAGGCTTTTTTTAGATATTTTTGAGCTTATAAAATAGTCGCATTTCAGTGTTGCATATTAACCACTCACATCATTTTCATTGTCCCTTTATAGTTGAAAAAGGATTCTAAAGGGATTTTTTCCCCCTTTTCCTGGTTTGAGAATAAACAAATTTAAAAATGGTTGGATTTCCCAATGATAGTTGACAAGGTTAAACATCATGCCAAAACAGAAGCTGGTCTCAGATTACCTGTTAACGAATTGTGTGTGTCCATGTGAGCCTCGTCCTCCCATACTCTCCAACTGTGGATCTGCAAATATAGTGAGCAACAAAAAACCCAGAATTGAAAAGTTAATGAAAAAGAAAGAAAAAAAAAAAAAGAAGGAGAGGAAATGTAAAATAAAGGAAAAGATGTGGGCTTCAAATCATTTTAGTCAATTCAGCTAAAAATTGAAGAAGACCATGAAACAACGCAAAAGCATAAAAGAGCGAGTAAGAGTCTATCTCATCAAGCAATATCATTGCGAAATAGTCTGTAAAAGGCCATAAATTTAACAGAAGATTCCATTGAAGAAAACCGAGATATTACCTTAACAATTGCCAACAGCATTGTTAAGCAGCTGTAAGATATATGCGTAATTGCCATGACAAAGATGAAGCGGTGCAGTTGTTCAAGGCCTTCATATGAGACAAATGGTTCATAATGCTGTTCAACAAAATAAAATTCAGATTCATTATATTTGAAGCGAATTTAGAAAGTAAATAAAAGATAAATGTATGTGACAGTAGACTAAATAATTGGACCATACTAGACAATGAAGACAAGCATAAAGTGACAGAACATTTATTCATCTCATTGTTAACTAACCAATTCTGTTAATTGTTAATTGCAATCCAAATTGAGTAAAAATAAAAAATAAAAAGGACATTATTGTCGTGTTTCGTGGATGATTGACTTGCCTCCCTGCAGGTGTTCTGATTCAAGCCATTCAATACTCTCTTATGGGATCGAGGATTAAAAAAGGTTCCATTCATGTCCGTATTTTCCTTTTCCTCGTTGACTTCTTGCATGGTGCATGGAGCAAATGCACTATTATAGAACTTTGACGGTATACAAATATTAGATATAATGCTTGATGTGGCCGTAAGGAGGAGAGAGATGAAGCCAAGAAGCATCAATTCTGCAGATCAATTTCAAATGAAACTTCTTTTAATTTGATGACAAGTGTGTGGATCATTTCTTTAACAGTTCACTTGACATAAGATGCATCTAAAAATAAATAATACCTTCCTTCATTTTCTCAACTGCTGCCAGCAATGGTTTCCGATCAGTTTTTTTCAACCACTGAAATGACAGGAAATCATTAGCTCATTTAATGTCAAAAACTGAATTTTACTTGCTCACATGGATAACTTGAAGAGTGCATAAATAACATTACGACACTCACTAGAATGAATAGAAAAATAAAAGAATTGAGATATGTTTCTGTATCTCAATATCTTGCAAGACAATACAATCCCTCAAAAGTAAACACCATGTACCAACTCCAGTCACTTGATACATCTAAATTTTGAACTTCTTGATAAAACATACAGTTAAAAAGCAGCCAAGGTTATCATGAGGTCATGTTTCCAAAAGTAAAGTCAATTAATGCCAAAATTATAAGAAGATTTCCCACAAAAGTCAACTCAACATAAGTCTATCTCAACAAATTTCTTATTGACAGGCACAGGAGGAATCCTGGGCATGAGGCGTTTGTGCTTGTCAACCTATAAAGTACATATACAAATCTGGAATCTTTCTGTATTTTGGTGTTATAGGTTTTGTATATCCAAAATACTCTCACTTATTTCTATTTTGAATTGGTTTTTCACTGTGACTTCTGGAATATTATAATTCATAGTAGGTGTAGAAGTCCATGAAAAGTAAGAGAATATACAAGCAACATTAAAAAAAAAAAAAAAAAAACACTACAGATCAGCCCTTTTCTGGTCCATCCATCCCATTCTCTGTATGTCAATCTATCTAAATATTTAGTTCTACAGTCTAAGATTTAGAGTTTGTTCTTTGGGTTCATGATGATTAGCCTGAATGAACGAGCGAACAAATCATCTCTCAATAACTTGTGCATAGATATTTGTGTCACCTGAATATCCCATAATCTTATGTCTTATTCATATGAAACAAAGATTTGATAAACCAATTATACAAAAATTTAATACAAACAGGGTCCATCTTCATACTAACAATTCATCCCTCCACTTCCCGTCCAGAGACATTTCATAAAGAATTGTTATTTGACTAATAAAATTTTGAATTAAATAACCAACTAACTATTACTACTCTCATTGAGTAGTATATCACTTCTGGCTTGTTTATTGCATCTATTCTAAGTAAAGACCTTTTATCTTGATTTCACTTCTACTGTACCCTACTAATGGTTTTGTGTAGCAAAGTAAGCTGAAAAGTCCTTTCTGTATGTTATCAGTAATTAAAGTCTTTAATGCTCCAGTGAGCAAAAAAGGTGGATGCTAATAAGTCGTATGTATCACTTTATTGTGAAATGTCAGGCTGGCCTGTTCCTCCACAAGTGCCTGCAAATCCAGAATTATGATACAAATGGTGGCTTGCTATTGATAATCCAAGCCAAAAATGCAGAATGATAATTTGCTATTGGGTTATGTATCAAATCATAATATTTTTCTTTCAACGAGTTCAGCAACCAAATCAGCATTATATAAGGAAAATCGAAATAAGAAAAATGAAAAGAATAGGAAATAAGTGATCACTTCTTCATGGTTTCCATGATTCAGTTCCAGCAAATTTCTCAAGTTCACAATGATGCTTTTTTGAAATTTCTAGGTTGAATCTTAACAATTTTCTAGTTCCACTTAAAAGCTTGTGAATCTGAATAATAGATTCTCTTCGTGAGGCCATATACAATCAGTGGTAATGTGATGGGAAAATAGTGTTCATAAACAAGCCTGGACACAAGTTGAATAACACAAACTTCTTTTAAGCAAGCACCTTCAAAACGAATTCTAATTGAAGATAAGGATACCTAAAGGACAAGCGTGGAAAAACATAGACTACTAAAAGAGACAACACCACAATCAAACGATGGTGAGCAGATAAAAGTTTAAAAATGGTTAATTTAATAACTTTGACAGCCACCCTATTTGCCATCCACTGAATAACCTTTTCATCTTATGATATATCTTTAACTTCCCTTTCATCAGAGTGGATTACAAAAGCACTACTTCATTGTAAATTAACATAGTCATACATGTTCGCTACAGTATATATAAATATTTTGAATACCGTATGGCATATATGATCCTTGACATGAAACTCTTTATTCTGGTTTGTACAAAATCGACCTAGAAGGTTTGGGTTCAGACCAACAAGAAGAGAAATGTCCAATACTGATCACGAAAACTTCAAAAATGCATTTCAGTTTCATCAGCAGTCAGAAATATGAAAATTTGGAAAAGGTAGCATCAACATTGAAGCTCATTAAAATTCAAGAACGACATACTTACATTACCCAAACGATGAATTGACCGCTCCACAAGCAGTGAAACAGCAACAAATATAGTCAAAACAGAAGCAACAGACCATGTTGGTGTTAAGGCCAATGACCTCAACTCCTTTGAATCCTCAGGCGGTCCTAATGATTTAGATTCAGACATTTCTAAATAATTACTTCGCCACAAACTTCAAGCTTTCTATTAGACCTTCAATCCTTTCTACTGAAGATAATCTCTGAGCATTGCAATGTGGTCATGAACAAAACTCATCATTCTTCAGAATTCATTTAGTATCTGTAGCAAGAATATTCAAATATAACAACTTTGTTTAAGAAAAAAGTTCAAAATATATTGTAGCCCAAAGAAGGTACCCCCAGACCCACAAAAGAATTGCAAATTCAATAATGCAACGCGTTCTAATTCTTTAATTTTTTTTCCCCCCAAAAGTCGGTGACTTTAAATGTGGCAATGGCACATTGGGGTCAAGAGCATCAGCATTGACTTCAAGACCCAACCTTTTGGAATCAAATCATAATAACCAGGAAAAATGCCTAAGAACAAAATGGTTATCTTGGAAACTGATCTATGATATCAGAAAAGCAAGAAAGTTTTCGTTTTAAAAAAAAATAAAATAAAGTTCTCAGGTTTTCTGAGTTAAAAGGTGAAGCCCAACTCTGAAAGATTCAAACCTGATACCGATCCGACTCGTTGGCTTCTAAACCAGCAAATCCTCCACAAGAACACCCAATAAGCTTAGCTAACTCCCAGTTACACGAATAAGACTACGAGAAACCAACCACAGATGCAGTATCTGAGAAAGAAGTGTAATGAGCTGGAAACAGAAACAGCTTTTCCATTTCTTTCCTCGTAATTTCCAAGGACTAATAGTTTGTTATTGCATTAAATATTCACACACCAAAAAGCAAAAAAGTCCTCTCTCCTGACTCTCTCTCTCTCTGGAATCTGGTTGGAACTGTTAAACAAATGTATGTGTACGTACATTATGTGTGTGATTGGTGGGGGCCTTAGCTTTGAGAGCGCGACATTGCAATCAACCTGCACCAGGTACGCAGGTTTCTTTTACTTTTTATTTAATGTAATTCCCCGCGATTGGGAGATGAAAATGCTTTATTAAAGGTGGCATTGCCATACGACGCGTTTTATTTAATTACTATTTTTTTTCCACTTCATATTTTGTCCTATTTGGAGTAAATTAAAGTTTTTTTTTTTTTTTTTAATTTTGACTTCCCGGTCCAAAATTTTATGAATAAAGCCACTTGTACACGACATTTCTTTTTTGTCGACAATGTATTAATGGTAAAAAAATTGTTTTTTTAAACTGTCAATTGGTGAATTGACACATTGCGGATTGTAAAACTTGGGATACACTATTATATATAATAAGTATGATTGAAATTTTATTTAGCCCTCGTTTTATTCTCATTCGTTTCAATCTCTTTTTTCTCCAATATCATTTTCAATCACACATTTATATAATAAAATATTCTGTACATAAATTTAAATTTCTTTTTTAAAAAAAAAAATTGTCACTAAACAATGGCTAAAAAGATAATCAAATTAGGTTTTTTTGCTTTTCTTTTTTTTTTTTTCATTTCATTATATATGGCTTCAAAATTATTAAATAATTATCGTCTTGCCTGAAAAATATCGAAAAATCTTGAATAATGAAAGCATATCTAGCTTACAGGAAAAAGACATTAAAGGTCGTTCAATTATAGCAGTGCTTGAAAACTAATATTCTAGATGTGGATGGAGATTACTGATTGAAATTAAACTGTCCATTTTGAACTGTAACTTGATAGGATCATGTGCGATGGAATTGAGTAGTATCATGTCTGGCAAGCATAATTAGAAAAGGTCTCATAGTTCTTTATGAGTCTCGAGACTTTTCATTCAACCATAAAGTAAGAATAGCATTATCAATTATAGCACGTAACTATGAATTCTCAACATCTATCAAATCGTAAACTGTGATTGATTAAACTTAAACATTTAATTGATCATACTTTCTTGAGTCTAAGTTCAGCATCATCGGCATAGTGTATTCATATGACAAGTCAACAACTGAGCTTAGCAATGTACATGCCCTCCAATTTATTGTTGGAGGAATTTTGTGAATAGTGACGTCAAAATAAGTATAATGATGGTTTGTAAATCCGTGCCGAAAATTGGACAGAGTAACGGCAAAGAAACACAAACAAGAAGAAGAAGAAAGTAGGGACAAAGTCGAGGCAAGAGTTGGACTCTTTGTCCTTAAGTCTAATTTGCCCCGTAACGGTGCCTACGGATTTCGGCAATCGACTCCCAAGATACAACGGCTACACTTGTGTTTGTAGCACTCCAAAACACAAGTACAACGAACCAAATTTAGGCTTATGTACTCCAAGGATGAAATGAAGGAAAATCAAAATAAATGAAATGATTTTGATTTTGAATAGAAGAGAGGATGAGAGATGTTTTGCATATCAAATTGTGAGGAATAAGACACCCAAATGGTCCTATTTATAGACCATGAAAGGGTGTGAACGAAATGGTTGAGGCCAAACCATGCACCCTTTCCAGACAATGCACCTTTATGAAAAGGTGTCTATTCACCGGACAACCGTGCGGTCGCACGGTCAAATATTTTGACCTGATTTTCATCCTTTTTCGTAATTTATCATTCATCCGATATTGGTTTTCGAAATGCCAAATATACCCTTCAATATGCCCCCTCGACCCCCGCGACCTGACCGGGCAGGACGATCCCCGTTTGTGCACCCCGAAGCGGCTAAGTAGCAAACAATTTTGCCTAAACGGATTGAGTCGAGCTTTTGAGTATTTGGCCGAAGTCGATACGAAGTCACTTTAATCGATTTTCAATTCTCGATTTATTTAACCAATATTCAACATTTATGAGTTTTGATTCTACTGGACTTCATACTCAAAATGGCTATGATTGGTCGAACACCTATTTTATCCTAACTTCTCCAATATGGATAAAATATATCGGCATAATGTATCCAAATGTGGAGCAGATGATCAAGTCTAGTCGCAATTAACCCAACCAAGTCCCCAACCTCGATTAGGCTTAGGGTCAATGGAACAGTTGGGTCATCTTACCGTCCATGGCACGAGTATAACTAACTAGTAACTATCACTATCTAAATAGTCCATTTATCTACACTCAACGAATGCCTGGCGCTAACCTTTAAAGGATGAAGTTATTTTTAACTGATATGTACTATATCTCATTGAAGTAAAAACAATTAAAAGTAATTCTTACTCTATTGTTAAAATAAGTTTTCATATGCGTCTCTATAATTACGAACATTTTATATAGAGAGAAAAAAGAGAGAGATACGTGGACCCACAAAACAATGCCACGAATTATAAGGAATTAATTAAGGTTAGACCATATTATAAGAACATTTTTTCTCACAGATCTTGTAATCAGCATCGTGATTCGTGCATATGTATCTATAAGCAGAAACCAGCAAAGTCCACTTATCAAGTGGGCTAGTTGATAAAAATTTACAATATTTATTTATTGAATCATGGTATAGCGACATAATACTTGGCAAAATATCACATGTCATTTTATCATTGATCTATTTAAAACATTATCAACGTTTTCATCCAATCACATCTCGCCACATCGTTTTCTGTCAAAGAATCTGTCCAGATTCTTCTATCACTCGATCATTTTCCTTATTTATTTACTTGTTTTCTTGATTTCATTCTCTCTGGGAACCATGTGAATCTTACTTTGGGTATGATATTTTTTCACCATATTAGCATTTTGCCTCGTGTATTTGACAAAATGAAGTTTTAAAAATTTATTTGCAATTAGCTAATGAATAATTTGGAGTTGACTTGGCATGTGAAACTAGGCAATAAATGATGTTTTCAACCTAAAACTTAAATAGAAAAAATTTGGTAAATTGTGAGTACAATGTAGCACAACATGAGTCTGTAAGGGTCAAAGCTGGAGGTCGAGTAATAAGATATTTGTGCTTGTCATAGAGGAAGGTGTCAAGTTAATGGTTAATAACAAGTACGTCAGGTTAAAGGTTGAGTTTGTAAAAGTCAAATACACCCATGACCACACGTTTTATGAGTATTCACAATTTTTATTAACTTTTCAATCTTGTATTTTATCAACTTTTATCAAAATCTACTATAAATTTTATTAAAATCTTTGCCGAGCTAAGGTGTTATATGTGAAGTCTGAGTGGAATCAATGTGGATGAATTCGCTAACATGATGTTATTTTGCAAATTTTTTAGACGTTTTTAAGTATTGGACACAGATCGAGTCGAATTCGACGGTCAGTGATGACAACAAACAGCATAAAAGGTGGTGGGTGGGGGAAGAAAATAAATCTATGTTGAGTTATGACCGCAAATTTAGCCAAATGATAATCAAAGAAATTTGATTGAGGTTTTCACGGAGAAATTGTAGGGTCAACTGAATATATAAAACAAAACAAAAAAGGGTATTCATGAACTTCTTGGAGAATGGGATTATCTCACCCCCCACCCCCCACCCCCCTTCTAATTCCATGTTTTGACCTCCATTGAGAAGTTATTCAGAATGGCCCAATACTCTGCCCATTCAGGTGTAATGGTCCTTTTTCCCATTTTCGGAGTTTAGCTTGGATGGAAAATGCTGCCATCAAAAGATGGTCTCAAATTTGACTATTTCTTATTAGACAGAGAATAAGGAATTTTCATTTTCCACACATTAATTGGTCCATTTTGTGTTGTTTGATAGCAAAATTTTACCTGAAAAATGAATTCCCTCCCCCCACCCATGTGACGTGACCCATTTTCCATGAATTTGTGGTGGTGGGAAATCAATTTCAGGTTTCCTTTCTTCTTTTCCTTTTTTTTTTTAAAATATTTTTTGGACAATGGAAACAAATTCTAACCACAATTATAACAAATATATCTCTTTAATTGACAATTTTCATGAAAAACAATGCCAAATGAACACCGAAAGATACAAAATTTCAATATATTTCAGGTGAAAAATTATATCAATCAAACACATTTAATTGACAATTTTCAGTAAAATAAGTTATAGGCAATTTAATTTCATGTAATTCGTTTTCTTGCCACCCAAATTTCATCTTTGCAATCAAACAGACTCTTAATATCATGAAATTCTCCATTCCCATGTGGGTTTGTCTTTTTGTATAATTGTTGTATTTGTCATTATCAATTGTAAAAATCAATCAAATATTGGTAAGCAAACAATATGATATTTGAGTAAAGTGATAAATTCATCATAATCAATAATACTCTTCATTTTTTTCTAAATAGACTCAATGTATATGCTGATTCAACACGATATGTAGAATGAAATGTTATCAAACTTTTGATGGATCATATCAGATCAACCCACATGGACCAATTAAAATAGTAGTCTTCACAATGAAATTTAAATTTAAAAAAAAAAATACACCCTCCAAAAATTTTATAAATATATATTAAGTAAAGTTCAATTTATTTACAAAATTCTTTCTAAACAAAAATATTTTGATCTATGTAGGCCAACTCGTCTAAACAAGGACGTCAAAATCTAGTTACCAAATATGTTTATACTCTCTTGTACAGTTATTAAATATTTCTTAGTCGACTTAAGTAATTTTATACATCTAAAAAATCTTGCATTATTTAAAATACCCTATATGTAATGGAATGTACATGTCAAATGAACTACGTTGTATCACTTTTCATGCAAAAGTAGAAATCCCAAAAACAGCCCCCAGGGCACATCTCCAAGTAGTAAAAGGGGAGGGTGGAGAAGTCCAGCTTTGATTGAGACTGCTGCGTCAAGGGTTCGAATCCTGAAATATGGATTTGGCTCTTGGGTAAGTGCAAGTGTACAAGTAGTCTTCCACCCTGTACCCTTAAAGACATAATCTGCGATTTACCTCCCTCACGATACTCCAGGGTAGGGGTGGTGGGGGACCCTTAAGATTAGGGTTTAACCTTTTTTTTTTAGAAATCCCAAAAACAAAAAGTGATTTTTGACGTGAAAGCTCGATTTCAATCTTTTCGTTTGTCGATCTCCAATATTTTGCTTTTGCCCAATCGTTTTTAGTGCCTTGATTGTTCGTCTATGTATATGACTCTTGATCCTGATTTTCGAGTTATCATTCTTCATTAGTTCCACAATGATCACTAACAACACTTAAGATTCAATTTGTTAGAATTAAACGTAATTTGTTTGTGATAATCAAAGTGAGAAGTCAACCATAACAATTTTTTGAAAAATGAGCGATTGAAAAAGAAGGGAAAGTTTTAGGTTTACATGTAATATTATTTTATGGAAGATTGTATAATTGAAAATAGGAAAGAAGGAGAGAGAAAAATAAAATGTAATAGAATGAAAATTAACGAGGGCAAGCTTAAATTTTACACGACAAGTGAATAAGAATAAGATCTTCAATTAATTTTATTATTAACCAGTTCAACCTACTGATCAACAAGAAGTCAATTTCGTATACACGCATATTCCTCGCTTTTGCAGCAAGACCATATCCACCACTTACCCCTATTTTATAAAAAGAATTATCGAAAAATATGGAGATGATTCACTTTCTTCTGTGCTTTACTTTGCGGAGCATTACCTTTCTATCTCTTATTCCTGATGACATGTTTTCTTATGGTGTGCGGAAGACAAAAGTGAGATGTTCACACTCTCTTTTAATTTTTTCCTTTTTGAGTCTTGTCTTAGGATGTATGAGATTTAGCCCTCGTTTGACCCCAATTTTGTAGAAATAAAAACAGGTGAAATGATATATATATATATATATATATATATATATAAAATGAATTATTGAAAAAGAAGGAAATTTTTTATTTACATGTAATATTATTTTATGGAAGATTGTATAATTGAAAATAGGAGAGAGAAAAATAAAATGTAATAGAATGAAAATTAACGAGGGCAAGCTTAAATTTTACACGACAAGTGAATAAGAATAAGACCTTCAATTAATTTTATTATTAACCAGTTCAACCTACTGATCAACAAGAAGTCAATTTCGTATACACGCATATTCCTCGCTTTTGCAGCAAGACCATATCCACCACATGCAAGTAAATCTTTATTTTTTTTTTTTGAAAGAAAAAGTATTTATTTTCCACTAATACCACTTTTTTCGTCTTTTTGTTGTCCTTCGGGCTCAAAATCGAGCTTTATTTTCAAATGGTGGATAAATCCATTTCGTGGTCCAAGACCCTGCCCTGGTCCAAGAAAATCTTTACTTATGTATTTAAATTTTTTTGACTATCAATCTAACTCCAATTTATCTTTAACGTTACACAAGGCATTGGAAATCCAGACCAAATCAGTCACACCTTTATTGCCCTTCGTTTCGTTAACAACAAAGTCATGACAATTTCTCATTTCTTTCCTATTGATTCGATGCCTTCTTCGCTTTTTATTACATACCCAGGCGCCCACCTTGTCATTCAGTTAGAAAAATCAATACAAGTCACGGTTTTATTTAAGTAAAGATTGAATTTACTCATTGTAGCCAATGTTAGAACTTGTTTAATTTGAGATACCGAAAGAAAAAATAAAAAAAATGAAAACCAACCCAGTTAGAGATAATGAAACGTGCGGTCCACCAGCAAATAAAAACCCAACGACGAATTCATGTATTAACTCAAACTAATGCACCAGCCAAATTTTATAACATATGGGCCGTCAGCATTTATTAAGAGCGCATGCAACTGTAGGGATAATTAGCTTGATACTTACTTATCCACAACCTCTAATTAATAGTACCAGGCCTAACAAATAGCTCAATAACATAGAATAATCCAAAAAAAGATACAATTGGTGCACTTTTCCAATAATGTAAAGTATTGGAATTTTTGTCTTTCATTACAACACCACTATATTTACACTAGTAACTTAGTCCTTGTTCGGTGTTTTTTTTTTTTTTTGTTTTTGTTGGTTTTTTT